TCAGCAGGAGCACACAGCGTTAACAAGACATCAGCTCTTCTTCACACTGGCAACACAATACTCATGGCTGGTGCTGCTGCTTCAGAAAGTCCTGCTCTCTGCTAGAGCTTCATGAGAAACAGCAGCTCTCCTCTGCTCCAGCTGTCTGTGGTATCGGCAAAGAAACACACGCTGTCCCCTCTCCCCAAAAGCACCATTCTCCAATTCCCAGACACGACCGGTTGTGCTGGTAACTGAAACATCCCTGGGTTGATCACCCACCCAGCCCCAGGCTGGTTCTCAGTCAACTCTCACCAGAGCCTTCCCAAATCAACACCCTGCCCTCCTAGGCAAGTCTACCTTACCACCCTTTTTCCTCCACGTGGATCCCTGTGCCTCACAGAGGGGAAAAGGATACCAGGTTGTCTTCTTCCCATCACTAAGGGCAGACTCACTTCACAGGCAGGCTACAGGGTGGCTCCTCCCCAAGCTCTGTGGTCTCGGGTCCCTTCCCTTCTCTGTGCCTGGCTGAGTCCCCTGGGCTGAGTTCCCTCCCCTCTCCTGCCTCAGGAGCCCATCAAACACATGCATGTGCTCTTGCAAACAACACATTTCTGCAACTTTCTGCAAACTTTCCCTCTCTGCCTTTGCAGGGATCCGGAGCCCTGCTGCAAGTCCAGCAGCAGCTGTTACACTTACATGGGTCATGCTTCCTTTTGTCAGCAGTAAAGCCTGTATTTCTCTTTGCCAATTCTTAAATTTGGAGGAATGACTGCTTTGGGCTCTTTAAACAAAATCCTCTATGTGCAGAGCTCTTTCCTCTCCTGTTGCTAGGAGGTAACCTTTAGTGGCACTTGTCACATGGCCAGCCTGAAAGCCTGTTTTCCTGTCAGTAGCACTCCATCTAGTTTAGTACTTTATTGTAATGCCTGGAGCCTGCCAACAGTGACAAAGGTATCGTGGCAGGCTAATGCACTCTTCTCTTCCCTGTCGCACAGAAACATCTGTGCTCTGGGAGTTCTGCCCTGCTTCATGTGTTTGCCACCAATGGCAACACTGTGTTACAGTGTTTGAACCCTTAGTAAGAAGAATTAGCGAAACCAGTATATGGTTTCATGTCTATCTGTTGGGTGCCCAACGCTGTATTGGTGGAACTGGTCCATTCTAAAGTGCACAGCCAGTAGCTCCTTTTCCATCTGATCATACTGCCTAGCCGTTTTGTCCAAATTCAACTAGAAAAATGCTATGGGCTTTGCATCAGGGTTACTCCTGGACCTCCTTTCAAGACAACACATTGTAGCTCTATCCTCACTACAGGGCTAAGCAATTTATGCCTGGTGCTTTGCTTTTGCTTTTCCTACCTACATTGAAAGATTATTCTGGTGTTTCTGACTGTTTTCATGTTGCATCATTTTGTGTTAAATTGTGGCAAGGGATTATGGCCTTCTAGAAAAACAATTGGCAGTCCCTGCAAATCACTTGACATGGTTCACATCTTTGTGCCTGGGCAGCTAAAACCCAGCGGTACCTGCCATAAATATGGATTTTGCATCTCTTTCAGTATACCAGGACCTATCATTAGCATCACAAACTGTAGGCAGTTTTGTCTTAAAAGATTGAGTAATGTTGTCTTTAATCACTGGTAATGGGTAGTGATTTCTTTTCAATGCTGTGTTTAATGGTCTGGGAGTAATGGAGCTTCTCAGTTTACCTGAAGCTTTTCTCACCACTGCATGCTTGCTGACACACACTGTGGCATTTTCAGAGGGTGAAACAATGACTCTTCTCTTCAGGCTCCTTCTTCACAGTAGCTTCACCAACGCTAATAGAATTCTGCCTTTAATGAACTCATGGACACAGGATTCTGTTTCCACCTTCAGCTGCCCACTAAGCTTTCAATTGCTCTAAAATACATCCTTATGTTCTGTTAGAATGCTAAAAAAGCGTCTATAATGGTTGTTCGCTTTTCATCCTGTGCAACGAGGAGGATTTTCTGCTATTGTACTGTAGCCAAATCCAGGACATACACGGTCCTTCTGTCCAACTGCAAAGGATACTCCTGTGTGTTAACTACTGCAAATTTCAAGAGATAATGCATCTTGTTTTGTGGATATCTCATTAACAACTCACATTTACTTACCAGCTTCAGAAGGATTTTTATTGAACATAACCAGTATCTGGTCTCACTTTTCCAGTCTAACATTGCTGTTTATTAGTGTGGCAGAGTTTAATTTGCAGCTGGCTCCATAATCCAGCTAGGATCAAATTGGTCATTGATCTAATAACATTGTTATAGATACAGGAATTAAATGGCTGGCATCTTTCTTCTGTACTGTGTGTATACTGAGAGTTACCGGATCTCTGAAGGTCATGCTCCAGGTATCTTCTCCATCAGTAGAAGTATCTCAGTTGCTGTATGTACTGCTGCTACTTTCACACTGAGGTAGCTACAGCATTGGAACATAAATTGGTACTGTTTTTCATGCCCTGGATTCCTAACCTTAGCATTTTTTTTCTTCTGTTCCCAAGGTTTTCCAAAATATATGCATGAAATCATAATGAATGCATTATTTCTTAGTCTATATCTCTCTTGTTTGCTTTAACTACAGTTGGCACCAGTCTGCTTAGTAGCTTCTATTGTTTGATCCTTTTCCTTTTGCTGGATAGTTCAGCTGTCCTTGCTATTTACAGACATTTCTCTAGGGTTAGATTGCTCTCTCTCTCAACAATCTCTCCATAAGCTGGAAGCATGCATCACACAACTCTGTTCATAATTGGAAAACTTTTAATGACTCCAGAGTTACCTGAATGTGGAGCAGTACTCAACTCAACCATATAAATATTCCTTCCTATTGCTGCTGGTTCTTGGGTTTCATAGTTAAAACCTGCCATCTGTAGTATCTCTTGACAGTCTCATTCTGTTAGGAGTCAGAATACCTATCAAATATCTTTATGAGCCAATCCTGCATTTGGGGCATTTATCCCCAACAACACCATCTCCCTGCACAAAAGAACATTATCTTCTCTTTTTCATCTTCCCCACTCAGTTCTTTAGACGGGTTCAGTTTTTGTTTCCACTTTCTTCATCCTGGGCAAGATTTGCCCTGCTACTCCAACCTATAAAGCATGGGTGACTGGTGCCTCTCAAGTCTGGGGGTACAGCAGATCGCTGGCCAGGGGGTGTCCCCCAGTGGCTGATTGCCAACCAGGGATGTCCCTCAGCGGCCAATCATGGAGCCAGTTGTGAAACCAAAAGTGTCCTTCTGGTTTCATGGCTAACGCTTCCAGGGGGTGCATGGCCAATCTCAGGGGGTGCATGTGCACCCACGTACACCCCCTACAAGTTGCCAATGCTATAAATCCATCTTTCCCTGTTGTCCATCGCTCTCTTTCCAGGTGTGGCCTTGTTTTGTTTTTTCGAGGGTATGTACAGACATTTGGGGAGATTAGGGGGAGGTTAGATGTGTTTAAAAATGACTACCTGATCTTAGTTCTCTCCTTACACTTAGATTCCTAGTTAGGCGATCTAAGTGCAAGCTCTACAGAAGTTCCAGGAAAGTTAGAGCAGTCAGAAAATGGCCAACCTGATCTAATTTAACTGTATCTCAGACATGCACTAAGTTAGATTAGGTATGGGTAGACCGATCTAACTGAACTTCAGTACATGTTCCTAGAACAGCCCCAGGGCTGGAAAAGCCCATCCACTGGCTCCAGCCCTAGGCTTCACTTATCCTATTTCTAGCCCCTCTAGCCCCTCCCCAATGCCTAGACAGTCTCCCCATGGACCAGCCAGCCACCCTTCCACAAGCCCACCAGCATCCTTGATCCCACAAACTGCTCCCAGTGCTAGTTTTACCAGCATTTGCCAGTGTCAGGAGCAAATGCAAATAAGTCAGGATGGAGGGAGGGATGGGCAGGATCAGGAGGGTTTGGTTTGCTGTGGGGATTCTTTGTCTTGGGGTAGAAGAGGCAGGGGGCTAAAAATAGACCCTGGCCATAGGGAAAGCG